TACTACTCTATGTAAAAATAACGAAATAAAATACACCACGTGTTTTTGTATTATTATTCGCTTATAGCGAACTCCGGATATAACGAACCAGCTTTAGTTCATTTTCCAAGTTCGTTATATCCGGACTCAACTGTATTACCGAAAAGAAAACAAGATAATTCTTTGTTTCGATTTTGTCCTAAATTCAAGGGTGAAATGGGAATTCGAAAAAGACGATCAAGAAGAACAAACTGTAAAGACGACGACTTTTCTTGTAAATGCACCTTTTAACTTTTTTGCATAAAAAACTCAAACCAAATTATTCATTATTATTTAGAAAAAATATTATTGATGAATGGCCCTTAAAATTAATCTAAAAACGAGTAAAAAAAGTCATCAACAATTCCCAGCAATGGTACTGTTTACTTACTGTTTCGGTGCGTTGGGTTGTCGTACCAAGTCATTCGCGTAACATTGCGCCAACTCCTAAAAATTCATTGAGTTACCCCAGCTTAATGCAATTTGCATATCAAATCAAGTATTTATACATAAATAGTAAAAAAATAAATTAGCTTGCGGTATCACAGAGTACCTCTGTGATCTGTGGCGGTATTTACAGGGTTGCCATTGCAGTTTTGACAGACTGACAGATGACATAATAATGACAACGTTGCTAACCCCAACAAATATGGCGTCGGCAGTCCCTGAACAGAATGTTTTCTAGTTTTCACGTTTTAACGTTTTTCTGGCAATTTTGTTACATTTTTCCGTGTTTATACACGTGAGGACACATGCGGAATATTCCCTGCAGTTTTGATGCTTTAGATGTGCCATAGTCGTTCTAGAGAAGATTTTTTCCGATAAACTGGAGCTACTGTATACAGGTGAGCTTTCAGGGTTGCTTAGAGGTACTGCCGTTTTAGTAGGGGCATCATTTTTCTTGGGGGCTCCCCAACTATCTCAGCCGCTCATTGTTGCTGTCTCTGCTAGGTTATGGATGGGATTTCACCCAGCCTAGATCCAGATGAGCTGATGGATCTGGAAGAGCCGGAGCCTTACGAACTAGACGAAGATGAAGATGACATTCCCGATGATCCAGCGGCTTCGCCCTTCCAGCAATTCTCCTCAGGTGAGCCCCAAATGTTTCATTGACACAAAATTGCAGTAGTGGTAGTCATTTTTCCAATACAGAGGCTTGATAAGTTTCTTTGTTTTAAAGGGCCGGCTTCCAATGCCACATCGACGGCCTCATCGCCGGCTAATAATGAAGACTTTCCCACGCCGTACAATTTCACTGGGAAACCATTGACAATTAAGAGAGGCAGAGGGCGCCCCAGACGCGAAGGAGGTAAACTTTGAAGCTTTGCCAGTTTTTCCTTTTGGGGTACAATGGGGCTTTGCAGGTAAACCCGGACAGCGAAGAGGTGGCACTGGTGCCCCCCGGGTGAGGAGGGCGAAGCCCCCCGGATTTTCCCGATGCCGTGGCTCCAGGAGCGTGCGCCAGCCGGACAGGATGGACTTTGAATTTTCGTACATCAGCCCCAATTCAATGGATGATTTGTCGATGACGGACGTGGACTCGTTTTTCTTTCCGGATCGAGAGCGGCAAGCGCCGCTCTTCGAGGAGCTGCCCTATTCTCCTGAGGCATGGCCCGGCAAGGTGGGAGTTTGGCTTGCAAGCATTATGAGTTGGAGAACGAGCGCAATTTTGCAGGTTTGCGCCCTTTGTAACTTGGGGGAGCGCAGTCAGCTGGGCCAAGGCGAAATGATGCGTCTCAGCTGTCCCGAGGGTTTCACCCCCCAGAGGCTGCCCAGCGCCCCCAGCACGCCCACCCCCCAGGCGCCGGACCGGGACTCCGAAGACAAGAGCCCCAGAGGCCCGGTGACGTGTCGGTGAGTTTGTCAGTTTGTTTCACTATGCGGACTCGAGTAATGGGTTTTCAGGCGCAACAAAAACTTTAGCCGGAGCCGCAGCTTTTTGCCGAACAACGAGCATGTGGACGAGCTGAGCATCATCGGGCATGTAGAAGAGCCCAATGTCAATGCACTCTACGAGGGCAACGGGCATTTTTATGTGCACCGCAATTGCGCCTTGTGGTCCAGTGGCGTGACTAGGGCAGGTAGCTGCTCAGGTCAGGGTCCCTTTTCAAAACTCTACAGTGGTTTGGTTGCAGAAAATCAAGCACTGGAAAACGTGGGGCCGATTGTGCTCAAGAGCTCGTCTCAGAAGTGCTCGTTTTGCAACCACTTCGGAGCCAGCTTAAATTGCGCGGCCCCAGGCTGCTCCCGGTCGTTTCATTTTCCCTGTGCCACGGCATCTGGCGCCTTCCAAGACCTGCCCACCCGACAGGTGTTCTGCAACGGCCATCTAGGCGAGGCGGCTCTATGTTGCGAAAGCGCTCTATGCAACACCTGCAAGACTGTGGGCGACGTTTCCAACCTCATGTACTGCTCCAGTTGCGGCACCCACTACCACGGCAGTTGCGTGGGCTTGGCGCAGCTACCAGGTGAGTTACCGACCGGCGGGTTTAGCGGCGCACAAAACTGAGCTAAGGGTGGTTTGCAGGAGTACGCGCCGGTTGGCAGTGTCGTAAGTGCCGCAGCTGCCAAGTGTGTCGCATGACCGGCGACGAGACGAAGCTGATGAGCTGCGAGCAATGCGACAAAGTTTACCACGCCAGTTGCCAACGTCCGATTGTCACCTCCATTCCCAAGTACGGATGGAAGTGTCGGGTAAGCAAAGAACCTGTGGTTTTTATTAACAGCAGACCTTTGTGTGCGCGATCAGCGGATACTCACCTTTAATGAAACCTCCTTAAGTCATCTAAAGATCGACTTTGAGGTAAATTAAATTGGTGGCTAAATCTCAAAAGTTTGAGGAGGCTGGAGGTATGAGAACATTTTCAAATTCCAGAGATTATTTCATTCTTGTCTATTGGTTATTATTATTATTTTTTTTAAAGAAAGATTACAGGAAGTCTTGGATGCCAAATAATGAACTAGTTCGTCTTTAGTGTTGTAGAGTGTGCGGAGATTGCGGATCCCGTACACCAGGCGCCGGATTATCCTCCCGCTGGCATCTTCACTACACCGTGTGCGATTCGTGCTATCAGCAAAGAAATAAGGGCTGCTGTTGCCCGGTTTGCCAGAGAGCGTACCGTTCGCACGGCCACCGTGAGATGGTACAGTGCGCGTCCTGCCGCAAGTTTGTGCACGGCACTTGCGATCCGGAAGCCGACCTGGCCGCCTACCAACATAAACGCGAATCGACCCCAGACTATGAGTACCACTGCGTGATCTGCAAGAATGCACCGCCGCAGCAGCTGCAGGCCGCCGCACGCGCGCTTACTTTCAAGCGCTCCAGTAAGCACTCACTTTCAATCTCTCTGACGAGTCAATGGCAACAATCCTTTGCTGCAGGTACTGAGGATCCGGGCGAGTTGAGCGCCTCGCAAGAGTCGCTGTATGATGACATGTCCGAGTTCGACAGCGCCCCTTTGGAGGAGTCGTTCCGAAGCACCGGACTGGGCAAAGGCAAGCCCTATGCAGGCAAACTAGCCAAGAAGAAACTCAGCCATCCCGTGGGGCGGCCCAAAGGCTTCGGCAAAGGTAATTTGTCCACCCGCTGCCACATCGATCCTTGTCTACAGATTGAGCCGTCTGTAGGTCTGCCAGGGAAGCATGGTTTTATGAAACGTCAGCGCATGGTGGACTTTGGGCGCAAACGCGGCGCCAAGGCAAAAATCCGGGGCGTGTTTGGCGTCCCGGGCGTCGGGCTGTCTCGGCCCGTAGCAGACGGTAAAAGCGACGAAGAGCCGGGCGTGGAAAACCGACTGGCGCTCTGCTCTGCTAAGGTACCCTCAACAGCCCCATTGATGCAATTTGTCGTTCTACAGCTCCAATTTCAGGACAAATTCGTGCTGACCCAGGACATCTGTGTGATGTGCGGCGCGCTCGGCACTGATCAGGAGGGTTGTCTGATATCGTGCGTGCAGTGCGGCCAGTGCTACCACCCCTACTGCCTCAACGTGAAGGTGACCAAGGTGATCCTCCAAAAGGGCTGGAGGTAAGTGTCGAGTAAGTGCCCCTTGCTTGTAGTCTAATGGCGCTTGTTAGGTGTCTGGACTGTACAGTGTGTGAAGGCTGCGGCCAGCGGAACGACGAAGGGCGGCTGATCCTGTGCGACGACTGCGACGTCTCTTACCACACCTACTGCATGGACCCGCCCTTGGACTACGTGCCACATGGCAATTGGAAGTGCAAGGTAACAGACTGGGATCACCACGGGTGTTAGTTGGGTTCTACAATGGGTTTTTCAGTGGTGTGCGTGCTGCCGAACGTGCGGCTCGGCAGACCCGGGCTTCAACAGCACCTGGATGAACGGCTGCACGGAATGCGGTCCGTGCGCCTCTCTAGTAGCCTGCGCTAGCTGCAACGAGCCCTACTGCGAAGGCGACCTCATCATCCAATGTGCGCAGTGCGAGCGCTGGCTGCACGGCCTATGCGACCTCATCAAGACGGAAATGGCAAGTTCCACCGACGCTCCCATTGCCGCTGTGCTCACTTCGTTTGATTTCAGGACGCGGAAAAGTGCGCCGAGGACGGCTACACATGCCTACTGTGCCGCCCGCGCGATGTCCCGCCGCCCCATCTCCAAATGCCGTCCACGGCTCTAAAGCCGCCCACTCCAGTCAAGAGCCCGGAGGTGCGAAGCAACGCGCACTTTGTCATCGACGGAGTAGCGCTTAGTGAGTCGGGCCACGCCCTTATCAAGTCGCTCTCGCTGGAGCATCACGGCACGCGCAAAAAGCGCAAGAAGATAGTGCCCGTGGTGCACGACAAAGAGGCGGGCATCATGGCCACCATCGAATCAGTGGTGGCGGGCGGCAACGCGGGCGAAAACAGCTTCGAGGACACGAAAATCGAAATGATCGACCTCAAGGACGAGCCGCAGGAACTTTATAAAGAGGGCATGATTTGGACGAAGGAGGACGGCCCGCCTCCCGAAGGGTTCACCATCTTCCAGATGGACAGCGGCGTGTGTGTGTTGCGTAGGAAGCGCCAGCGTAACCTGCAGAAGCTTGGTATTGGTGGGTTCTTAGTGCGGATGCGTGGCTTTAAAACCGGCCAGGAGAACGACGATATCGACACATTGCCTGGACAAACAGTCCCGATGGGCGCAGTATCCGAAGTGCCCCTGCAACTGGACGGCGAGAAGCCGAAAAAGAAGCCAATACGACGCAAAACCAAGTCCAAGCTAGTGGAAACGTTTCCTCCGTACCTGCAAGAGGCGTTCTTCGGCAAGGACCTCATGGACGTGACCCAGTTGAAGCAGGAAGTGGACAGTGGCGCCAGCAGCGAAGAGGAGGGCGATCCCTACAAGCAGCACGCAATTAAACTAACAGCGGTAAGTGTGCGAACGAAGAGTAACCTGTCGAGTTGTTTGTCCAGATTAAGCAAGCATTAAGTTTGTCCTTTTGCAGGACGAGCTTCGAGCAATGGAAACAGCCAAACGGGAGCGCAAAGCCGACATCGGGGCTTCAACGCGTGTTTTGGTTAAAGAAGAGAAACCCACCTCCGTGATCAAACAAGAGGAGGAGGACGATGACGAGACAAATGAAGACTTAAAGGATGTCCTGGCCCTGCCTGGGGATCTACTGGATACAGATCTGGTCAACAGTATCATCGAAGATGACGAATTGACGAAGAACACCGAACTGGACGCTCTAGCTGGTAAGTTCTCAGCTGGCCGCGTTTGATTGCTGGGTTCTATTGTGCTCTAATTCAGACGATGATGGTGAGCTAGCGCAGACATTGGGCAGCTCCGAGGACTCAAAAGACGCCAAAGACGAGCTAAGCGATATATTGGGTTCACACTTTTCCCTCGAGTCCATTCCCAACATCAACAGCAAAGACGTTGAGGATATTTTCAAGGTGCTTATTCGTCTAGTCAAATTGGGTAAATATTCAGTCGGAAAGCGGTGTTTTTTCAGGGTGTTCTCACTGATGAGTCGCAAGAGTCGCAGCTGTCGCAGGAAGCCAGCGCGTTCCCGCCCATGCCATCGACACAGACGCCCATTTTCTCACCTTCTCTGGGTCAAAATGCGCCGCCCATCCCACAAATGCACCTGGCCGCACAAGTGCGGCCTACGACCCTGCCAGGCGTTCAGCACGTCAGCTTTCCGCCTTCCCCATATCATTCGGAGTACAGCAAGTGTGTAGAGACACGTCCATTCTCCAACTCTGTTCTATGGTTGGTTTTTGCGTTGCAGTAGCCCACAGTTTAGTCCGGCCTTTTCCGAGCCGCCCAGTCCGTGGGTGAACATGGCAGAGGGCGTCGAGATGGAAGGGGCGTCCGCCAGTGTCGCCTCCACGTACAATCAACGCTCATCGGAGAAAATGAAGGCGGACGAAGGTTTGGGCAGTGGTGCGACCATATCGGCCGTGCTCTACGCCAACATGAACCATCCGGAGTGGAAGGTCGAACAGCCAGTGTGGACTGAGCGGTGAGATTTTTGTGTTGGCACCAACGCCTCCCTTGAACCCATCGTGTGCTTTGCAGGTACAAGCAAATTATCAAAAAGTGGCGCACTTTGAGCCAGGAGCAAAAAGCGCCCTACTTACAGCAAGCGCGCGACAATCGTAGCCAGCTACGCATGAAGAAACAGCAACAGGTAAAAAAACAGTAAAGCTGCGAGTGAGGCGAGCTGCTATGGCTGGCCCGAGGGGGCTTGAGCCCTAGATTGTGTGCGAGAGTAAAGTGGGGAACGCCCCCTCGGGCTAGTTGAAAAAGCCGCCCATTTCCCGGTCAAACACCCAACCACATCAGGTGAAGCGCGAAATGGCGTCGTTCGGGGTGTCACTAACCAATCGCCCAGTGCCACGCATGACGCGTGTGGCTAACCAGATGTGTGTGTAAATATTCATGTGCTGTCACGTTCCCTATTTAGTCACAGACCGTCAAGGAGGCGCCAGCGCCGCCCGCTGCTTCCAAACCGCCACCAGCCGCCCCCGCCCTGGCGGCCGCCCTGGAGACGGTGCTGGGACCGACGTCGCTTCCACAGGCGCCACAAACAACCGAGGTGCGCACCGTGTGCGCGCAGAAAGTGACTGCGCAGCAACCACTAACCCGTCACGCTTCTTCATCATCTCCGCCTCCTTCTTCCGCTCCTGCTTCTAACGTTCCCAATAGCCCGCCCACGCACCAGCAGTTTACGGTGCACGGCCAGTTTGCGGGCCCGGGCGACCGCGTCGGCCCCGCCCCCAATGTCACCGTCAATCCCCACTACCAACCGGCCGCCAATCCCTGTGTCGATCATCGTGCGTTGGCGGCGTCGGATCAGCAGATCCGCGTCCTGACGCCCTCCGAAATTATGCGAACGCTCCCCTCGCTCTGTCAGGAAACTTACGAACAGCCGGTGAGGACCGAATTTGGTGTGGAATGCCTATGCCTGGATGATGATGAATTTTGGATCGAAACTTTGACTGATTATTATTATTTTCTTTTTTAATTAGGACCCCGCCAGTGAGTTGCCGGCGCTGGCAGGGTCGCGCCGCCTTTTTACGTTGAGAGCTTGTTTTTGCGCAGTTTCTTTTACTACACCGCCGCCGGTTTCCGAGTATGGAGCCTTCACAGATGAGCGTGCCCACGTCCCGCCCCCTCCCTGATCCGCCCACTTTACTAACTCCCTAGTTTATGGTTTCTGTATGTAGTGGAAAGGGCGACGATTTGTAGCTAATTTGCATGGCTGTTTTGTAGCCAGTTGTCCGCTGTTCGCCTTTCGGCGCCAGCTGTCCGACTTTCGGCGCCACTTTGCATGCAATCAGGCGACGCCCGTGCGTTGATTTTACTCATAGTTCGTTTCATGTGCCCGCAGGACCAGGAGAAGTTGGCACAGCAGCAGAAAACGGCGCGCGAAGCCGAACAGGAGCGCCAATGGAAGCAACTGCAGGCGCTGCGTCAACAGCAGGCACAGCAGCAGCAGCACGTTATTCACGAGCAGCGCGTTCAAGGTGGGTGGTTAACTTTAAGGGCGACCACTTGAGCGCTTGAAAAAGATCCTTTTCCAGCCATCGCTCGGGTGCAGCGCACCATCTCGGACCCGGGGCCGCCCTTTTTGCCCGCCGGCCAGGCCAGTCCGCTGCAAGTGAACACGGCGGCGCAAGAAACCAGCCCGGCGGCCTCACCGTCGCCCCGCCAGTTCTTGGGCATGAAGTCGCCCCCGTTCACCCACCCGTCACCTACGTCTGTGAACATTCGCACTCCCACTCCCTCCCAGTCGCCAGTGCACGAGTTTTCGGCGCCGCCCACCCCTAGTCCTGTCCACAATACGGACCAGGAACTCTTTGCGGACAGCAAGCCGACCGCTGGCGACGTGGCCTTTGGGCAATCGCAACCAGCTCTTGCCAGGCCGGCCTTTTCTCCGGCCAGGACAGTCCTGCAGGTGAGTGTTTGCCCGTTAAGTGCGTTAAGCAGTGCAGGGAGAGTTGGGTTTTAGACGCGTCCAGAACAGCCGGAAATCACGCGGCAATTACGCGACCTGCTGCAACGCCAACAGCAGCTAAAGAGCTTTGAGGCGCAGAATAAGGCGCGCCCGTGGAATTCCGACGGCGGCGCAGAGGCGCCCAGTGGAGAGGACATAACTTTCAGGCAACCGCTGCCGCCGCCAACTGCCCGCCCCAGGGGGCCGGCGGCAATGGTTGTCCGACCGCCTCAAGCGCCGTCGCCTGGAATGCGCATGCCGCACTTGGAAGGGCGGCTCCAGAGTCTGGATCCGCGGCTTCGGCTCATTCTGCAGCAGCAGCCCGTTAGTTGCCCCCACCCCGCATCGAATAGCTGCGAAAATTAACGGCTTGTTTTTTGCAGAGAATGGGCGCGCCTCCAGCCGTGCGATTTCCCCGCGCAGCGCCGCGGCCTGCGTCCATCGAGCAGTACGAACAGCTGATGCAGCGGCAGGCTCAGCTGCAAGCCAGGAACGTCGCAATGGAGCAAGCTGCGGCAGCGTCTGCAGGTCGACTGCCGCTAGCGCACCCGCCAAAGCAGTCTCCTGTGATTACGACGGTAAGCTTTTTGTTAGTAGAGCCGGATGAGAGGCGGATTGACTGGGAAAGTTGCAGGGTATTGCTCCTGTACCTCCCACTGCTGCGCCAGGCGCTAATGAGCAGGAGATTCCCGATAATGTGACTGCCGAGCTGGAAAAACTGGAACAGGAGACTGGTATGAAGATGGTTTTGCGGTCTCTGTGGACGTTGTGTTTGAGTCGTTGGGCGTTTCAGGCACCATGGCCGAGCTGCAAGGAGTGAGCGATATTCTAGGCGGCTTGGGCGACGACGATGACGAACTGCTAGCGGAAATGGGAGCTGATTTTAATATTTTGGAGTATGCCGATCCCGAGCTGGAGGCTCTCGCGGGCGAGAAAACCAACATTCTCGACCTGGATCTGGAAGATGACAATCTGAAGCAGGAGAAGAAGCGCGAGCAGCTGCAGCGGCAGCAACAGCAACAACAGCAACAGCAACAACAGCAGCAGCAGCAACAGCAACAGCAGGTTAGATATACGGGCCTACAGGGTAATTCACATTTAATCTTGATGATTGATTCTTAATTTTCCTCGGGTAGCAGCCGCCGTTGGCCACATCAACTGCGGTTTCCACGCCGCCTACTGTAACCGCGCCTACCACAAGCCCCGCTCCAAATCGCTTTGAAGCGTTTCAGGCAATGGTTAAAGCGCCCGCAGCGCCCGAGCCGCAAGCTGTGGCGCCCGAAAACGCCCAACCGCGCCCCTCTCCTGACAGTACGACCCCAGCGGTGCAAGTGCCCCCGGCAGAGCCGCCGGCGGCTTCGCCCACTAGTCTTTCGGTCACCGCCCAGCAAATCCACCAACAGATGCTGCATCAGGTAGGATGCAAAATGTCCAAATATGTAAGTCGCACTCATTTTCATTCTGCATCACCTAGTGGGGTCATGGGTGGGGGGGTTAAAGTGCGTTGCGCAGTCCCATTTACTGCGCGCTCGTTTGGTTTCAGGTGCAGCAGGCAGCCGCCCTGGGCAAGCCGATGCCGCCCGGCTCCAAGCTGCAGACACCAGATGGCATTGTGGGCGTTGTTTTGGCCAATAACAACGTGCAGCTGCAAATCCCGCCCAATTTCCAACAACGCCTTCTTTTGCAGTGTAAGTATTGCCAACTGCAACTCTTGCAAAGTAGTTTTTGGTTCATTGATTTTTAGTGCAAAACCAGAAGTTTCAAATGCGGATGGCTAGACCGGTGCCACGCGCTCCGAGCGCGATTAATCAAGCTGCCGCCCCCGGGCAAAGCCCTAAACCGCGGATGCCGGCTGCGACGCCCCCGCCGCCGCCGCCCTATCCTGGCCCGCCGCCCCCTTATCCGGGCAATGTGATGCAGCAACAGGTAAGTGCTCCAACGCGGCGTCCTCATCCCGTAGAGATTAATCGGCATGTTTGTCTGCTTGATTCTTTGGCCGAGTTTTGGGCATTTTTTGTTAGTTTTGGTGGTGTTTTTTGCTTTTGAAAACCGCGACCTGGTTGGGGGATTTACAACAACAAAAAAACATTGAGTTACGAAGGAAAAGGCCCGGGGACTATCGACAGAAGTGATAACTTCTATTATTTATGGAAACCATAAAATTTTTATCTTGCTCGGTTGTAACTTCAGCATTCAAGAAATGACATTAAATTTTGCTTAAAAATAATAAATTAAAATTAATGATAGTTTTGGCCAGGTAACCTGGAACCTTAACCTGGCCGGTCGTTCTTTGGATGCGTTTTCGTGCAAAAGGAGCGCAATTTCATGGCATTTAACTGCAATCGCCTTCTTACAAGTAACTATTTTCCACAAGAAATTGTGTAATTACGCTGATTATTGTATAATTGTCCTGTTTAAATGTGCTTATTTGAGACATAACACATGACCAATTCGTCCGATAAAAAAACTTCCAGTGGACGACTGGACGAGACCCACATATGGGAAATCTGCCAAAATCATTCGTCCGATTTCTGACGAGCGCACTTCACTCGAACGCATCCAAAGGATGACCGGCCCACAGACTACACACTATTACATTCACACGACCGGCTGTGTGCGTGCGAGAGAGAACTGCGTACTTGTCTTTATCTATGTCAGACGTAACGGCCCCGTAACGCCTTCCGATGGGTTTCCACCGTGCGCTAAGAAGTTATCACTTCAAAAAAGCGAAAAGACAAGGCGCCAAGCGGGCTTCGCCCAAGTTACAACTTGGTTGTTCTGTGGTTGTGGTCAACTGTTAAAATTGCATGTGTATGGTAGATGGGATTGAATATGGGGCTGGCTCATCCCGGGGGCCCCGTGGCGCTTCCGCCCTCGCTGCTGGCTTATCCGCCGCCCCCCACTTTCGACCGGAGACCGCTCCTACTCGAGGTGAGCCCCCTTAATGCTTGTCGTACTACCCGCCTAATCTGTTAGTTAGTTGCACGTGCGTGTTTCCACCCGATAGTGATGATTTTCTGTTTGCTTCTCGCCGATCAGGAGCAGCCGCTGCTGTTGGAAGACCTGCTGGAGCAGGAGAAGCGCGAGCAGGAAAAACAGCATCAGACAGGACCGGAGCGTGCTGCGGAACCGGAGCCAGCACTGCTCAGCGATCACGATTTTGAACGGCTGAAGGCTGATGTGTTTAGTTCAGAGGCGGGACCGTCGGCGTGGCCGCCCACAAGACCGGCGCCCGCCCCCACTCAACACACCACTGAAATCACGACGCGTATCAAGATGTTCAATGCTAACGTGATGCCAGCGCCGCCCCTGCCGCCCGATAACGCCGTTACCGAACAGGACAAGCAGGCGCAGATCGTTTATGAGCAGTGGCTCAACCATCAGAACAACGTGCTCTCGCAGCAGCTGAGCTATTACGATACGGAGGTGCAGAAGCTGAGGAAGAGCCGCAAGGTAACGCGCAGCTGACCTTTAAACGACACTGTTTGGTTGGATTAACACGGCTTTTTCAGTCTTTGAACAGCAAGCAGCGCCAGTTGCGTAAAACAGGCAACCAACTGAACGAGGTTGATGCCGCCGAATTCCAACGCATCTCCGCCGAACAGGCCATCCTGCAGAAACACCTGGAGTCCAGCAGAAAGCAGAGCCGGCAGCACACCATGCTCATCCAGGTATCTAGTAGGATTTTGATCGTTATGGGCACTGCTGCACTAGTTATAGTGTTGCCTAGTGGCAGCACTCTGGCACCTAGATGTAGTCCGAGCACTGTCTATAACCAATCAAAAGTGTTCTACATAATTTCGTTCTCTTACATTGGTCTATATGAAGGAATACCGGAACAAGCAGCAGTCGCTGCAGAAGGCGCCGGTGGGCACGTCGCCCATTCATCACTCGCCGATGATGTCTCCGCAACGCTCGCCCATGAACAGTCCGGGGCCAATGGTCGCCCATTCCCCCGCTCTTTTACCTAGTCCGGGCGGTAGCCCCGGATCGACGCCGTCGCCGTCGCAAGTCTGCTTGCCGCCACCTGCGCCCCGAATGACCTCGCCGCAGCACCGGCGTGTAGTGACCAGTCCCAGCTACGCCACTGAGCTGCGCAACAACGTCAACCAGATGCGATTCATGCGGCCCACCGCCGTGGTGGACCATCAGCGGGTGCGCAGCCAGACGCCCAACCCGCACCAAGCGCTGCTGCAGAAGCAGCTGCACCAACAGGCCCTGCTGCATCAGCAGCAGGGCGACGCCAATCAGGCCGCGTCGGATGGCAGTGGCGTGTTGCATTCGCCGCGCGTGGCTCAGCTGATACAGCACCGTAATTTGAGCAGGCAGCAGCAGATGTCGCCGCAACAACACCAAATGGCCATGCAGTTGCAGGCGCGGCTGCAGCAACAGCAACAGCAGTCGCCCCAGTCGCCCATCATGCCGCCCAAAAGCCCGCTGCACAGCCAGCAGCCGCCCAATATGTCGCCGCATTCGATGCCGTCGTCGCCCATGCCGCCCAAGAGTCCATTGCTCGGCTTTAACACCCCCGGATCGCCGGTAGGCCGCGCCACTTACCAGCCGAACAGCCCCATGATGATGCAGTACCAGCCGCCCAGTCCGCTCATGAGGCGCCCGCCCAGTGTGGAGAACCCTCGCACTCCCTACTCGATGGACGCTCATCTGCCCGATCACGGAGGCGGCGGCGGCAACCCCAACAACCCACTAAACCCAGTGCCGCTGGCGCAGCCCGAGTGCGATTTCAGCAGGCTGGGCTTGAGGGGTGGCGCCCAGGTGCCGCCCACTGGCTTCAGGTTCAGCAAGTTGGGTTTGAAAGGCGGCGCCCCCATGTGGGGCGGCTTTGGACGCGGTGAGAAGCGGGTGCCCACTCCGCCCACTGCGGAGGGGACCGACAGCGACTTTATCGCTAAACCGAAGAAAGAGCCGCATATCAGCAAGGTGTCCATTTTGAAGAAGAAGACGGCGGTGCCGAAGAGCAGCCCCAAAATGTCTAAGGAGGTGGGAGATTTTGAGGGGGAGAGCACAAAGAAAGATCTGACCGAGATGGTGGTCGACTTCGAGGATGATAATAGTAGCGTACTCGCTTCAGAAGTGTCGCTTAGTTCGGCTGCGCAGCAGAACGACGACGAGTTGGAAATGACTGAGACACTATCGCAGGTAAGTCCAGTTTAGTCCAAGTCGGGCAAATAAAGTGAGTTTTCGGTTTAGGACGACATTGGCGAAGTGCTGGCCAGCCCAATGGAGGCCGACCAGATTTCGGACGAGTTCCTGCTCTTCCAAGGCAACATGGTGGTCGATCTGTCGGGCAACGCCCACTATTCAGATAAGGAGGAGACCGAGGAGGAATACCCAAACATTGTCATTCGCAGCCCCACCACCAGTGATGACGAGTTTATCATGCAGGGCCGCACTAAGAAGTACAACATTATGGACGTGGAGTCGCCCGAACCGGACACAAATACCGAACCGGAGGACGAAGAACCGACCGAAGAGTCCGAAGTGGTGATCATCGATCAGGCCGAGGAGCAGATCTCGACTAAGGAGGACTTTGAGGAACTGATCGATGAGGGCTCGCGCAAAAAGACCGACTTCCAAAAATTCACCGCTACCAGTGTGTACAGTTTCCCGCCCAAGCCGCTGGTGCGTCCTATCGTCTCCAAGGCCACGCCCAAAATCTCCCTCATTACGCCCACAATCATTCAGAATTTTGCTGCGCCCACGCTGGGCGCCGAAACGCAGCAACTGATCCTGACGCCCACGTCCAAGATCACGACGACCAGCGCCGGCTCCAAGCTGACCAGCATCATTCTGACGCACAATGCGATGCGCAGCAATCTGTTCAAGGCAGGGACGGCGTCGCCTGGCATCACCATTGTCAGTGCAAGCACGTCGCAAATCGCCTCGATTCTGCCTTCAAAGTTTACCGTTCCGGTGATCAGCGCAAGCGCCGTTCGCCAACTACCCAACGTTAAGGTTAGTTGCTTACTTTATTTTTGTCTGGGGTGGGTTTCACTATGCGCGAGTTCAACTACCGATGGTGGCGCTGCGAAACGTCAAATTACTCGTTGTCGAGTGACAGTTGAGACTTGTCAGACTTAGGGTCAACTGCACCGTCTTCATCATAAGCGTCACTTAGCTAAGTGTCACTTAAATACTTAAGCGACACTTAAAACTAATCTGCTGCACCGTCCAACTTTATCATCCACTTAACTAAGTTCCACCTAGTTCAGGGATTTTTGATAATTTTAGGGGATTTCTTATCTGCCTAATTTGAAAGCTTCTGACAGAAACGTCTGCGAGAAAACGATCGTTGGACTTTACTTTTGAAGACGATTGAAAGCGTGTAAATCTGTGTAGTGTGTTTTCAGTGCGAAAAAATTAAATTAAATGGAATACCCAATGAAATCGGAAAATACTAAATCACCAAAAAGAATGCACGCTCTCAATTATACCAATTAGGAGAAATATCGGTTATTAGAAATATGCCGAGACTATAAACGGATAATCGAAAACAAGAAAACTGACTCGTGCACGTGGAGAGAAAAAGACAATGCCTGGAGTAAGATCGTAAGAAGTTAGTCGAAACTTAAAAAAAAATGTGTAATCATCCAAATCATGAAAGTTATTTGCACGATTGTTAATCCGCATTGGCACGCCAAATTCAATTATCTCGAATTCATCTATATCGTCGTCATCGTCCCATATTAAAGAATTCATAAAGATTTACCCTATCAGATATCCGCCGAACAAGAATGAACCAAAACGTGATTTCAACAGTGTGTTTTTGGTTATGTATATATTTGTAACCTTTGAATATAAAACTAACTTGTTAGTTTTATATTCAAAGTTTGTAACCCGTCAACCAACCCGTGACGCTTGCGTATAGGTCCCACTTATGGCTAAGCCGAACCGCGAGTTCGGCTTAGGCTAAGTGCCACTTAGACTGGTTTAAGTGGCGCTTAAACTGCGGTGCAGTCAACTTAAATTATTAGGGTTTGGATCTAAATTCGAAGCTGCAAAAGGTTCCAGAAAAAAACGTACATAGCTGTTCAGGAGCCGAATGTTCCAATAAAATTTATTTTATAATTTTCACATAAATTACCTGAAGAGTGTCAGTATTTTATGTAAAACTCAAAATAAGTACTAGTAATACGTTTTGTGCATAGAAAGAATTGCTTAATATAAACTTTTCGAAAATTCGAATAACCTGAAATTTAAAAAATTTTTTAAAATTTTTCATAGCGTTAAGGGTGGCGAATTTTTCAACAAATTTTTTTTGGAAACTTGCTTTTTGGCCGTTTTTTTTCCAAGAAAATCTTAATTACTTTCGATAGCAAACTGAATAAATTTATTTGGTTTTGGTGCAAATTCAATGCTGAAAAAGGTTTTCTAAAGTTTCCTGCAATCCGATGAATGAGGCGAATTTTCCAGCAAAATTTATCATGTAATTTTTGGCTGAAAAAACCCCATTATTGTCAGAAAAGAAGAAATACATCAGAAAATAATGTTTTTTGCGTTTTTCATTAAAAACTTTTAGTTTTGTGATCGGTTTTTGAGAAAATTTTAACGGTTTTCAGTCAAAAACGGGAGATATTTTTTGTGCCCCGTATTTGACGCTGAAAAGGTTTTTGTAAAATTTTTACAAAGCTATAGATTTATATTGTAATTTTTCGCGTAAAAGACCTCCAGAGTCTCAGCATTTTTAAGTGAAACTAGAAAATTGAATATTTAGAAGAAAGAGTAACTTGGCTAAAACTGGAAAATTCTGAAATTTGAAGACATTTTTAAAATATTATTAATAAATGGTTTTTAAAACAAATCTAAAAAAAGGGGAAGTAGAGTTCACTCAGCCATCACAATCCACGACCATATAATCAACAAATACAAACATCCTTCTCTTCCCAGATAAGCCTTCGTTATTTATTATAGAATTTCGTCGGCTGTAAATCGTCTGAATCTGTAGTATTGGTTTAACTGCCGAATGCAATCTGAGCTGATAATGTTTTGGACAATAGATGTTCAGATGCGCTTTTGAGTAATCGTTCTCTGAGCCTTTTGCAACTTTCCACGCAATCAAACTGACTAGAGCGTTCTATATTCAAAAGTTTTTCACATGTGTGTTGAAATGTTCCACTGCATACAGAAATTCTTGCCTTTTGAGCTTGTGGTACGTCGGTTTTGCTTGCATCTGAGATACCCGTAAAATGTTTTTCAAATCAAATATTAGCTTTTCTGTAGGGATAGAGGTTTAAGAAACGATTATAATTGAATTCCTTGAATATTCCTTCTCTGGTTGAACCATCAAATGGTACACTTTGTCAATCTATTTCTTTTGTCCAGCAAATATTGTTTAATGCCATCGTTCTCTTTTTCGTGTTGACCTACTAGATTGCGCAACTTTTCTATCTTTGCAGGCAGAGGCTCGAACTTTGGGTTTGCGTTTAAATGGTCTCCACTTTATAAAAATATACAAGATAGATCTGGATTGCCGCTCTTAGTTGGCTTATACTTAGAGAACCGGTTGAGCTGTCGAGCTCTAATTGACATTGTGGGCAGAGCAGTATATTGTTAACTTTTTCATATCAAACATCGTTTTGGAATTATTTCTGGATTTC